AATCGGCTCATGATTAACTAAAAATAATCGGGCATAATAATAGGTAATTGGATATTAAATTTTACTTTTTTTTTGAATGAAAATACGTGGTCTATTTAACAGATATAGAATTTTAATTTATATTTTTTTTAAAAAAATATCTTTAAAACACGTTTAAATAACCAGTGTTATGATAAAAGAACAACAATTTTCCAGGGAATTCAGAGATTTTTAATTTTTTTTATTTTTATTTACATAATAATTAAGAAAAATAATCCAGAAAACGTATTCTTCTTATTCAAATATTTAGGCCATCCAGGGCGAAAATTAGTTGACTAAAACCAACAATATTTCTAGGTCTTGTTTTTAAAAAAAAAAAATAAACTTTAAAAAAAATCGTAAATACCAATCTAGGTTTTAAATGAATTAGGCGTTATGTAATAGTTACTTTTAAAATGTTGCCAGTTACATTTAGGTCAAAAATGGTAACTGTTGTCAACAACCCTCTCTAATTTGAGCCCTTCATATGGGAAACTCCTTTATTTGACCAAAACTGAGTCCCAATTAGGATCGATAACCCCGGGGATATTTTCGAGAATTTAATTGTAAGGGAGAGAGGGAACATTCTGAAAGTTAAATCCATTTTTTCTTATAAATAATCATGAATGGCTTGCATATATTCGTTCAAAATATTCCAGCAATTATATCTTTGAACAAAATATTTTAAATCAACTAGTCACGATAAGTGTTGTTAAACGACGACTCGTTTTGAGCCGATTTTTTAAAAACGGCAAACTCAAAAATTTTAGCCAGAAAAATATTGCCTAAGCGAGATTTCGCTAATAGGATGCCCAAACCTATGTTCCATCTAAAGCAAAATCTTCAGGCTTGCGTAATATTATTCTGGATGAAATATCGAGTTAGCCGTTTAACAACACTGGTCAAGATAATAGCTCGTAATCATGAGTTTGACACCTTGGGCCAGGGTGAATTATTTAACACGGTAAAAATGTATAATATTAATTAAATTACATTGAACTGATAACCTTTGGAATATAAATTTGTATATAAAATAAAATGAAATAAGTTAGTAAAAAAACGTGATATATTTTATATAAGGTCATTCGAATATAATTTGTTTAAATTTATAAAGGTCTAATATTTTTGAAATATATAAATATGCATAAAACTATTCAATATGATATGTAATATAAATATAGTTAGTAAACGATTATGAATAATAAAATAAAAAAATCATAATAACAAATTGACAGTATTGAACATAAATAATAAAATAATGCAAATTACAATAATAAGTAAAAGCGAAACCAGCACATTTATTCAAAATCCCCTCCCCCTAATCATCAGGAGAGATTGAATTGATAAAACAAACATAATTAGCCTTAAAAATGGATATCGCGATCTTCTACCTAAAGTAAAAGCTTTTGCGAGGCTCCCCAGAATTTCCTGATTAGGTGGCCAACGTCTTTAAAATACGTTTTAGCCAAATCACCATATGTTGTTAAAGTGGAGCAAATGATTAGTACGAATATGTAATTAGAAGAAAAGGTAATTATCGAAATTTTTCACAAGTAATAGATCCGAATCCTCCTGTTTTATAGAAATCGGAAATAGGGTTGTAGTGACGGATTTATCAATAATCTACGTGCCTGAAGGTGTCTAGTAATGAACGCACATATTGAAATCGATAGTGGGATCTTCGCCATGTTAGGAAGTGTGGCTTAATGCCAGGCTATGTCTGTAAACGTTATGTTTCAGCAGGCACTAAGAATGACTCTTATTCTGGTTTAGAATATTACTAGATGCGCCTTCTCTAAAAATAATGGGCTCGATCGCAGATAGTAATGGATTTTAGGGATGTTATAAAAATTCTTAATTAAAAAAATGGACTTGTGAGACGAGGGAAAGAATGCGTTTTTAATTTTCAAAAATATCGTACATATTGCTAAAAAGAAAGATTTACTGACTCCTCGCCAAAGGGAGAGCCCAAATGCGAAAAATTTTTCAAAGGGACATGCTTAAACCCAAAAGCGTCTAATGGAATTGTATTGATTTTGCAACATTAGTTTTGGTTAATTACAAGTCTGAGACTGTCAGTGGAAGCCTTAATATTAACAACATTTTCCACCCCAGCAGAATCGCCGGAGATGACTCCATCTTCAATGTACCATAAATGAAGGGGCAGCGCGCAGTCATTTTTTTATTTTAGTTATCAAATCGTGGATTCCAAGACAGAATAATATGGAACCCAGGGGGTCACCCTACTGAATACTTTGATAAGATTATAAGACATAATGGCCAAATACCAAATCGGATGGTATTTTTATAGGATGAAAGGATAGTTTATAAAAACTGGGAAATGTTTTATAAAATGTGAAATGATTACCTTTCCATAGTGTTTGCAACGGTCCGGTCCGGTCCGGTCTTTTTTTTCTAAAATGGGACCGGACCGATGGACCGTTAAGTCAAATGAGACCGGACCGTGGGACCGTCGGTTCGGTCCGGTCCAGGCGGTCCGGTCCCACCTAATAAAATTTTTTTTATAAAGCTACAAAAGTTTTATTCTGCATTTAAATTTATTAAAAATGAATAGTTAAATTACCCTATTAATATTTCAATTATATCATCAATTCATTTTTATTATATTATACACAAATGCCTAATCAAAGAAGAATATAAAAAGTAAACTATGAATATTGAATTTAATGAAACGGAAGAATATAAAAAGTAAACGATGAATTAGATATTATATAGTGTTAGGCATTAAATAATCATATTTTATATGTTCATGTACATACACATTAACTATAAAGCAATTTATAGTAAACTTTTATATTCTTTAATCGGTCTTCGGTCGGACCGGACCGGACCGTGGGACCGTGTTGTTGGACGGGACCGTCCCATGGGACCGAAAAGTCTAATAAGACCGGACCGGACCGGACCGTTGCAAACACTACATTTCCATGAATGCTAATGTAAGCTTTTCTAAAGTCGATTTTAACAAGGTGTTGATCGGTATCATTCTAACATAAATACGAGTTATATGTGCAGCCCCTTCACATCCTGAGTTCGTTCCGACACCTAATTGAAGAGGAAGAAATGTTAGAGACTTGTGCAGAAATCCTGCTAACTATAAGCTTGGAATATAATTTACTATATACAGCACCAACTGCAATAGGCCTGATATCACCATTCTTTATTTCTCAGGGCGAGAAGTTTGGCTCCAAAAAAGGGCTCTTGCGAAATCTGGGATGTCACTATTGATGACCTTGTTGTATAAAATTGAGTGATTTTGTCCAATAAACAGATTTGACTATTGAGAATAGGAGTGGTAAAATCTTGAAGAAATAAAGGTTACATGCCTTCAAATCCAGGGGCCGCGTCCTTCTGAAAAGATCTGACTGATTTAAATACTTCTTCCGAAGTGAAAATTGATGGTTCTTAATTTCAAAAATCGTTATAACTTCCGATGTTTGGGGATGCTTATCTAGCATTTTTGGTATGATACCGCGTCCACTGGAGCAATATGTGAAAGTATCTGCTTAGATCAAGAGCATCATTTATGTTCAGGTTATTTATTTTATTTTCGATTAGCTTCACCTTGAATTTTAAATGTTAAATCTAACTGTTTTTTGTTGCAGGTGTTAGTTATGATATCATGGGGTTAATAATTGATATTGGAAGAGACTAGTTTAATATTCCTAGTAAAAGAATTACCATTCACAGCAGGAATTTAAAAAGATTTGTGAATAAAAAAATGCTGACCATGCATCCTTAGAAGATAAGTTTTTTAACAGCCTATCAATGCATTGAGCATAATTGGTAGAAACAACTTATCTGGTACCTCTTGGAATTCTGGAAATCAAACGGGGTTTAGGAAGGGCGAGGAATAGGGCAATGAAGGGATTAGTTATATGAATATCAGGGATATTAGATTCAAGAATGTTTGATGTTGCAATATTTTCATGAGTTGATATAGATGGAACAGATAATTGTGTCAGAGGATTCAAGAGAAATTGTTAAGAGGAATTAAAGGGGACAGAGCCAGAAAGGGGGCATCTATTTCCAATCACACTATGGGCTCTTAAACGGCTGTTTCCAAGTTTTAATGCATTGAGAAAAGAAACTTCTATCTAACATAATATGTATTAAGAGAGAACAAACCTGTTCATCATCTTATTTGAGTGCAGGCATTTACCAATATGATTATATATTCAAATCTTTTAGCAGCTATCAATTATACATTATTAAATGCTATTATAATATGTAATGGAGTAAAAAGGTCTATGATGTGAGATTAAACCCGTTCACCATCTTCTTTGAATGCAGTTTACCAATATAATGATTATATATTCAATCTTTCAAATTTGTAGCTATCAATTTTACATTAGACATAATTTAATTATTATTAGTGTTGATAAAGTTACTTTTCAATAAAATTATATATTTTCAACATATAAATCAAAAACCTGACTAATGAATTAAAATATTATCAAAAGGCCATCGTAAAAATAGTCTTATTGGTTGATAAATCATAAAAAAGTTCTAATTGGAGCATATAAGAGCGTTTTTATGTTCCTATAAGGGATTTAGAGATTAACCTTGAATTCTTAATGACGCGATTGCGATTTAACAGCTGACTAAAAGCTGTTTATGAGATCAATTTTTTTTATTAAAATAATTATTTCTTAGATTATTATTATTATGAATTGAATTATGAAAAAATTAATAAATAAAAATCGATCTCATGAACAGATTGTAAAAATTGATCAGCTGTTAAATCGCGAGCGCAAACGCGCCACTATGAATTCAAGGTAACATCGAAACGCAAATATATCAGTATCCAACCAAAACGTAGCAACCCTAATATACAATCTTAAAAAAAGGATAACTTTTGTATAAAGTTAATACTTTATATCAAGTTTTCTCAGAGAATTTAGCTATGGAACATTTAATAAAATAAAATGCATTTTTTTAAAAACAAATTTAAAAATTCTATATTTCATAAAAATGCCTTTATTTTTTTTTTAAAAATAGGGAAAATTTAAATACACACACAAAATAATATTTGTAAATATATTTGCCAAATGAGTGAAACCAAAATAATTCATAAAATAAGAAGAATGAAATAAGAAAGTGTAATATATAATTAATGTAAAATTGATTTATTTAAAAATAATAATATAAATGTAATGACTAAATTAATATAAATTATATTTTCAATGCGCTTTAATTTCTTCCTGACATTTCTCTACGATTTCTTTGAATTTATCCATCAATTCTTTGTTCTATAAATTAAAAAAAATAATAATTACATTCATATTTTATATTATAATAGAAGGAAAAATATTAAGACTTGTACCAATCTAATCTGACAAAAATTTTAAACTATCAAGTAGGGTCTATTATATTATACAGCAATAAAATACTCAGCATAATCTTATAACTGTGTCACGATAAATTCCTAAAATATTCTCCCTAATGAAATTAAATAGGAACAAAACGAGTCACAATCTCAAGCACGGAGGGAGATACACAATGTACAAATAGAAACAATACTTAAGTTGATAAAAATTTACTTTAATAGTTCATTATATTATATAAAGGTATCGTTAGCCGTAAGTATAATACCACAGCCCCCATGGGACATTTTTTTCACACCAAATAAATTATTTTTTTGTCAAGTTTTTATCGAGAATAAATCTAATGAATCAGCTGGAGCGAGCTAACATAAATTTTTATACAAAGTTTTCGGCCTGGTTTGTTTAAATATTTTTTTTTAATGTTTGGAGTTGTGTCTTGCCAGTAAATAAAATATATTGGCGGGAATCGCTAGGATGGCACTTCCACTCCCGCATTGGGCAGAGAAGATCTCTATCAAGATGCATCTTAACTCGTATCCTAATATTACAACAACAAAAAAATCTGATACGAAATGCATGATGATGGACAATATATATTTTATTTTTTTTTAAAAAAATAAGGAACCTTAAATCGAATCGTGAAAAATTCTCGCTTCCCTTCCAAAGCCTCGTCCGCGTGCTCGGAGTCGCCAGAATAATCCATGCTTTGCCAGCTTAAAGAGGTTCCTTTGATGTCCTGAGGGAAAGGTTGGAATTTTAAGGCGGAAGTAAGCCTATGGTTGCACGCCACCTGTTTTGGGCGTTTAAAGAAAAAATAAATAAAATAATATTTTTGAAACAGTAAATGAAATATATCATCAAAAGATTATAGATTATTTAAAAAAAAAAAATGGGCAAAAATATGAAGAAAGTTATAAAAAAAGCTACCATAAAATTTTGAAGGATCTGTAAAAATTCAACGATTTTACCCTAAAGACAATCCCTTAATGGATAGCAGTTGTTAAAAGATACTTTTTAAATGGATCTAGATACAGATACATCGTCTAAAATAATATCTAAATATCGATATTTTAATCAAATATCTATCTAGATACAGGATCTAGATTATCGAGATCCTTTGACAACTCTGATGGATAGATATAATTTAAAACAATAAATATTTAGTAGTGTTGTTAAACGACCTAACTTTAGTCAGCTATAAAGAGCATAGACACATGTTTTTAACCCAAAAAAAATTCCAATGAATCTTCAAGTTGAGACTCAAACTTAGAGGCTTAATTCAACTTTTTAGGCTAAAAAGCTTGATTAAGCCACAATTCGGAGGGTCAAAGTTAGGTGATTTAACAATACTAATATTTAGAATTCGATTGGTTTATTTCAATATCCACCTCTGAAATATTATTTATCACTTAAAGAAATATGAAACAAAGTGTTTTTTTTGCGTGGTCCGAACCCGAATTTTGGGTCAGAACCTGAGCATGAAATTTTTTGTTGCAGCCAGAATCGAACCCGATTATGAAAATAAAAAATTGTGGGTATTTTAATTCACATATTTGCCTCCTTTAAAGGAAAGTATAATTTTATAAATATGTAATTCTGAGACTATTTTATTGGATAGATATCTTAGAATTGTTATAACAGATTAATATTCTAGATTTCATGTCGGGTTAAAATGTAGAATATAAATATACATTTTTATTTAACCAAATAAAATGTGATGTATGGTTAAGTGATAGAATAGAATTTTTAACTGGACACAATACAAATCAATCACAAATCACAGGAAATTGTCAATTTCGGGGAAAATAAAAATCAGCACGTGATTCTAATTGACATTTCTTATGTAACAAAAGGGCATTGGGTCGAGAAACTGAATAAGGAAATAGAAAACATATATATATAAAATGAAATCTTTTAACTTTAAGAATTTTTTCGCGCCTCATCAAAAATCGGTATATCGTTTCGTGATCCGCAATACTCTTCAAAATTTTGAATTGTCCAACGCCTTTCTCCTTCCATTCGTTCGTCGTTGAATCGAATCTAATATATAACAAAAAAAGAAAAGGAAGCTATTTATTATCCGTGCCACATGGCAGCCCGTACGAATCCCGAAGATTTATTTTAATAGGTTCAAAATTACCTCTAATACAAGCTCTCAAGATTAATTATACTAATATATCAATTCTTAGAATACGATAGTTAAAGGTAGATATAAACCGATGCCCGCGAATTCCAGTGACCCAAGTGTCAAGATTAGCCCTAAGGAAGCAATTGAAAGACAGTCTATATCTTTTTCTTCCTCTTGAATTATTACATTTTCGATCTCACTATTTATACGCCTAAAATTTAGGTACCAATTTCATATTAATTGTCATTTAAAATGATTATCCTTATAAAATTTAATATTCAAATTATGCCTTTATCATTAAATTTATAAATAACCTTTCTTTTTTCGATACCCGTATTTGACAGTAAAGATAATATTAATCTCTTTTTTTTATAACGCAGTACGATATATAAATAATATACGTTTTTTTAAAAAAACGAAGTCAGATTAGTATTAATATTTTTTTTAAACCTAGTTTAAAAAATATATCGATTAGAGATCTGCAAAAGTAGGCTCGTTAAAAAAAACGGGCTCGGGCCGGGTTTAAATAAAATTCGGGCCGGGTCGGATCGGGCCTTGGAAATTTTTTTAAATATATTTATATTTAGATTTATAAATTTTATATCGAATTTTTTTATGTAAAATAAAAATATTTGATTAAATTTATTAAAACTAGACGCCATATAGCACAGGTCTTTTATTTTGAGTAATTATAAAAATTAATATATATGTTTAAATAAGTTCGGGCCAGGCCGGGTCGGTAAATTTTCTCAAAAGATTCGGGCCGGGTTTGAAAAATTAGGCCCGATGCAGATCACTGATATCAATTTTATTTAAAATTGAGAAAAGACGAAAGCAACGAACCTGTAAAGCTTGCCCCGTTCATTGAATACGGCAGTCTCATTTTCTTCCCCGGTTACGATAGGTACCAGGTCGACAAGCGGAGCGTTTACGATATTCAATTCCGTTGCGTTTAAATCTTCCTCCGTTGTTTCGTTTTCCTGGTCTTGCGGAATAGGTTTCTATACCCGTGGGGAAAAAAAGAAGGAAATAATATATTATGTTGTTTTAACGAGCATTCAAAATATAAATTAACTTCAGGGATGAAAACTGTTTTTTTTTCTTTCCCACGAGTGTATCAAATTTTTAAAAAAATTGAAAATATCGCAAATTTTTAAGAGATCATATAATAATAAAAGTAATTAAATCGAAAAAAAATATCGCCATTTACTAAGCGAAACGTTACAAAATTAAAATCTAACTTAGAGGGTTATAACGGACAGGTTTTTGCTGGGCGGGTTAAAAAAAATTAAACATGGGGGGGGGGTAAGGAGGTTAAAATATTTATGTAATAACGGTTAGGCAGGTGAATTTTAAATATTTTTAGGGCCAAAATCTTAAACAAATTTTTTCAATAAGAGGACCTCTAATTTATCCAAGGCTAATAAGATATCGGGGCGATTTAGCGTTCGAACGCATAATGTTTTACAAAAAAATGGCGAGCTCCTTTATAATTTTTTGAAGAAATGAATAACGGGCTATTTTTTGGTCAGAAAAGTAACGTGTAAACATTGGTCAGAAAAGTAAAGCGTAACATTGGTCAAAAAAGTAAAGCATAACATTGGTTAGAAAAGTTAAGTTTAACATTGGTCAGAAAAGTAAATTGTAACATTGGTCAGAAAAATAAAGTGTAACATTGGTCAGAAAAATAGAGCGAAATATTGGTCAGAAAAGTAATGCGTAACATTGGTCAGAAATGTAAAGCGTAAACATTGGTCAGAAAATTAACGTGTAACATTGGTCAGATAAATAAAGTGTAACATTGGTCAGAAAAATAGAGCGAAATATTGGTCAGAAAAGTAAAGCTTAACATTGGTCAGAAAAGTAATGCGTAACATTGGTCAGAAATGTAAAGCGTAAACATTGGTCAGAAAAGTAAAGCGTAACATTGGTCAGAAAAGTAAAGCGTAACATTGTTTAGAAAAGTAAAGCGTCATTGGTCAGAAAAGTAAAGCGTCATTGGTCAGAAAAGTAACGCGTAACATTCTAGTATAAATACTATATTCGTGTTAGCATACCCGAATAATTTAGAAATTATGAATTCGGAAAAAATGGAAGCCAATTCTTACGTACCTCTTTGAACCCGAACATGGGTTTAGGTTTAAGGAGTTCGGGATTGATTCCTTTGTTAATGGATAACCCGCTCCCAAACGTAAAAGCTCCTCCGACGTACGCCTTATCCTTTATAGTGTCAACGTCACCAGTTTCTGTAATAAAATTTCAAATTATTCTTCAAATTCTAGTTTCAAATGACATTTAACAAGTTAGAAAAATGAGAGTTTACAAGTTTAAAATGTCAATCAAATATTTATTTTTTTAAAAAACCTTTGATTGGCTGCGCTGCCAAAGAAGCAAAAGATACTTCACGTTTACCGTCTAGCGGAACCGAACCAAAAGAGGAGAAATCGCCAAAATTAGAAGACGTTTTAAGGATGGAACCGAATATGGGTAATGACTTGTCATTCTTGGCATTGCCATCATCGTCCTTAACATAGGATATATCGCGAAGAGTACTGGACGCGGCGGTAAATGAGCTATCGTTTGAAGTATTGAAGCCGCCTGACGTTTTGCTAGAAGTCGCTGCTTTCACTTGATTCCCCATGTCAGCGCTGGTAAATAGTGTGGAGGAGTCGCTTACCGCGATATTATCTTGGAGAGGTTTAGAGATTGAAAAGGGCTTGAAGTTGAAGGAAATGGGGTTAGAAGTAGTGACCGCATTAACCGTGATAGGAACCTTACCGGTGACGGGCGGAAGGCTGAGTTTTGAAGATGCGAAAAATGATGCTTCAGTAGCGTTAAAAATATTTTTCGAGCTGCTATCGGCTTGGGCTATGACGGTATCTTTGTTCAATGCTGTTTTTTTTTAAATAAAAAAACTGTATATTATGTTCTCAAATTGCTTGAATTGGGAGGGAGGGTAGATGTAGGGGGAAGAGGGTTCAGCAAATTTTTATTAACTTAAAAAGATATTTAATAAAATAGGAAAATTTCCTAAAAGCAAATGATCTTCACCTCCCCCCCTTACTCCACCCAACTTATGAAGCTATATAATAAACATATCATAGTGACTATTTTTTATTATTAACTTATTTTGCAAATTTTTGAATAAATTGTCTCTAAATAGCCGGGTTATGTTAAGGAGGCAATCCAAATTATCATAAATGGATAATATCTAGAAATATTGTTTTTTTTTAAAAAAATATAGCAAAATTTTGTGTTAATCCGAATCGAAACAAGTAATTGTATGTAAGGTTCTGAAGTGAGATTGTAAAAAACGATGGACCTATCAGAATCTAATCCCACTAAAAAAAAGATCACATGTACCCCGGATCAGATAGGTCCTGGAAAAAAAAATGTCCAATGCACGAAACTCATAAATTTTGGAAATTTTTTTTGTTTTCGTTATAAAAAAGAAGAATAACATGACAAAATGGCGGAGAAAATAAATTTCTAAATTTCAGTTTTTTTAAAAAAAAAGAGATGTGCAAATTAAAGTATGTATAATAGTGCGCAAAAATTGAGCTTTTGCGATTTGACGTATTTTTTGAATAAAAAAACATAACGCTTGCTGTGTTTAAATTGAAGCGGCTTTTTTAAATTATTTCTATTTTGTAAAAAAAAAAAATGGAATTAATAACTTTGGATAATGAAAATTTAATGGCGTTATATATATTATTTACAACATAAAAATAAGAGGAAGTTCAGAGGAAAAACTTCAGAAATATTTATTAAAAGAAATTTATTCTCTGAGTATGTTACACTGAAAGGTGATTTAACAATATCTCAGTTCTTTAATTATACGAGAATGAAAAGGTCTACCCTTTCAGTCATTCTAAATATGATTCATGATGATATCAATCCCAAAATAACTAATTTCAATAAACAAGTGGATGCAGAGGACAGGTTATTTTTGACATTAAGGTAATGAAAATATTTTAATTATCCTACATTTATTCATAAAAGATATTTAATAACTGGGATGTCCTTCTCCCAATTATCTTATAGCTCAAGGATATCCAAATCCTGTGTTGCATTCATTGTTAAATCAGTATTTAGGGCAATTTGGAATGCTGGCAATGATATTTATATACCAAAGCCTACAAGATTGGGAAAGAGTACATTAAATTTATATATTGCAACAATTTAATATATAATTATTTAGATTTCCCAGGAGTTCTTACTTCATTCAGGGTTCCCCAATTGTTTTGGAGCCTTGGATGGGAAACATATTTATATCAAATGTCCACCAAATAGTGGTTCTCAATTCTATTGTTATAAACAAAGATTTACTGTAGTTTTGTTAGCCCTTACTGATATATATAGAAAATTTCTGTATATTGATGTAGGGGTTTATGGAAAGCAAAGTGATGGAGGAGTATTTAAAAATAGCTCCTTTTATAGAGGTTAGAATATAATAATTTTTAACTGATATTAAATCATACATATAATAATAATGTAGAAATTATAAACAATACTCTGGATCTCCCACCTGACAAAGCATTTCCAGGCCAAAATGAAAATATGCCATATGTAATGGTGGCTGATGATGCATTTCCACTGTCATTTTATTTGATGAAACCTTATCCAAAAAATGGTCTATCTCTAGAGGAAAGAGAATATAATATGAGACTCTCCCATGCACGTGTCAGTGTGGAGAGGAGCTTTGGAGGGATTGTAAAGAAGTTCGAAATACTTAGTAGACCAATTGAAATTAGTGTCAATAGCATTGAAATTATTATCAAAACTATATGCTTGTTGCATAATATAATAATTAGTAATGAAGGAATAGCTGGAGATGTTGATGATACAAGTATATTAAATATTTTAGTAACTTATATTTTCTTGATATATAAACCTGACCACAAGACCATTCCCAATAAGCAGAGAAAATAACATCATCAACATTACAATCAAGAGATTTAAGACATAAATTTAAAAATTATTTAAATTTATAATTATTTTGTATTGTTTATTTTATCAAATAATATAATGATTATAGTATATGACTGATTAAATATATATTTATAATAAAATGTTTAAATTTTGAAATCTTTATTCTGAAAACCTCATAATTTAAAATCTTAGAATATATTTTACAAAAAATATATTAAAAAAACTGACTAATTAATGAATTATTTATTAAAGATATTATAATATCTATATCATTAGAAGCCTTTAAGTATTAAGATCATTCTCAATAAGCAGACAATTTCTTCAACAATTGAAAAAAAGATTTAAGAAACAAATTTAAGAAATATTTAAACTCTTGATTATTTTTTATATTTATAGTGCGCACAAATTGAGCGTTTCAAACGCTGCGTTGCAAACGCCAATAATGCATTTCAAATGCATTCGTTTAAATTGAACGCTTTGCCGTTTACCAATTGCACCCATTATAAAAAAACGTAATTTGGTTAGCTTTTTCTGAGCGCTTTTTTTAAAAATAATTTTCAAAAAATGGAGACCACTACTTATATGTAAGTAAACTAACATTTTTTATATATATTTTTACATGTAAACTAATATATTTTTAAATGCAAACTAATATTTTATATATAGGCCTTGGGATGATGCGATAACAAAAAAGTTTCTAGCCTACCTAGAAACAGATGAAATGATATGGTTCCAAGGCCATAAAGATCACAAAAAAACCATGCTTGTCATGGAACACCTGAGAGGGATAGGATCCAGGTATAAATATAAATAAGTATGCTTACATTTTCATTTATTTAAGGCTAGCAGATGAATTCTTTGAGTATGATACCTCAGCCCTTTGTCTGAGGAGAAAGCTCAAGAACTTTCGTGGCCAGCTTAATAGAATTAAGCTGGGCAAAAGGTCAGGAGCTGATGGAACCAAGTTGAACTACAAATGGTATGAATATATAAAATTCATGGAGCCTACAATTATAGACAGACCTACAACTAGCAATTTTGATACTAGTGAGAGTATCAGAAGTGTGGCTAAATCTTCTAGTAAAAAGTTAGAGGACGAATTATTAGACTTAATAAAAACTCTTGTGCGCACTATAACGTATTCTCTGATTAAATTGACGTTGCATTTTTACTTTAAAATTAGTTAATATTATATCGATTATTCAAAATATCCTCTAAATTATATTATCGTCTGCTTTTTAAAAAAAATTTAATTTAAAAGATCAAACGTGGCAAAATGACAGTTTGAGCTTTTCAAAATGGTGTCTAACGCCAAACGGTAATTTGATCGGGAGAGCCATTATTTTATTTATTTTTTTACAAAAAAAACGCATTTCTGACCTCTGGTCAACAACGCTAATAAGAGCTCTATTTTATCCACGAACCGGACCAGGAATTTCCAGATTTCAGAGGATCGGGAACGGAACAGGAAACACGATTTTAAAGTATTTCCTCCGGTGATTCACCGAAAAGTTTTGGATCCTAAGGAACGTTCCAAAAATTATAATCGCGAGAACGAAAAAAAGGAACGTTTTAACTCCTTTATTTTAAAATTAATATTCGGGCTTCTTCGTCTTTGTTGGATGCAAAGATGGCGATGAAGCTTACGGTCGAGGAATAGATGTTAACTCCCCCCCCCCCCATATAAAATTCCCATCAAAAATGTCAATCATTTCAAAGTAAAAAAAAGTGGACAATAAAAATAATTAAAATTGTATTTCATCAATGTTTACGTTTGAATATAAATGAGTCTATCGATTTAGCGTCGTTACCATCGGTAGCCCAAAAATTGGTATTAAATTTAAAATTGTCGCTTCTGGATGAATCGCCTGTCGAAATCGATTTTTGAAAGGTGTCAAAGTTCCCGAAGCAGGGGTTGGTGGCTGGCATATCGGGAGTGACTTTTTCGGTACTGGGGCTATGAAAAGTATTGATATCGTGGTTACTATCTTCCTCTTGATAACTTTCCGAGGGAGCCCTGGGGCGGTTCAGTGAAGGGTCATTTGGTACATCTTGCGTAGAAATAAAAAGGGTCATTAAAAAAATGTTTTCTTATATCTTCCATCTTATTTTTTCTTTCCCCAGATTGATTATGGTATTTTGGTAGACATATATATTTTTTGTTTTAAATCGTAATAATTGTTTAGAAATTAATTAATTTAGTTTTAAAAATAGACCGGGCAAACATGGACCAAATGTAAAATATTTACAAGCCTGTTTTAGGTCAGAAAATTGTCTAAATCATATGATCTATAAATGCCATTTTTTATGCATACTATTTTTTATTAAAATAAATAAGTATTAAGATCCATACCATTTATGGTTAACGTTTTTGACGTTCGGCCGGATTTGCAAGCGTCTACGATGTCTCCAAACTTTTGAGCGATTTCGCAATTCTGGTTTAAAATCAAATATGTCGATATGTTTAAAAAAAATAAATAAATTATAAGAAACTGATTTCAATATTCGGCACAATAAAAATAATCGACAGGCATTTCTCTAGGACTCGGACTGGATTAGGATCCTCGACAAAAGGTCATTTCCCTTGGGCAGACATTTTCAAAGCGGAGTTTGAGGTCCGGTTTCAAGTAATTTTTATTATTTTAAAAAAATAACATGATAGTCACGAGTCATTTACACGCCTTCGAAAAAAAAAATAATATCGTTAGCCATAAGAAACGTTGCCCGAATTTTCGAAATCTCGCTAATAGATGTCAAAACCTTTGTGTATTCTGTGAATAAAATTTTAAGGCTTGCGTTAACATTTCCGGATAAAATATTGAGCCCGTTTAACAACACAATCGTTAATACTGCGTTTTAACTGTTATCAGTGTTCTCGATTATTAACGCGGAGCATGAATATTTTGATCATAGATGGCAAGGGCATCTATTAGCCATATCTCTTGAGGTTTGGGCAATATTTTTTCTAGCTAAAATATATCTGGTTCGTCGTTTATTAAAATCGCCTCAAATCGAGCCGTTTAACGATACTTAAATGTTATTGCTCACAATTGGGAGGCGATTATGTCGTTGCGTCAAATAATCGTATTTAAAAAATCGCGAATAAGTTTTCAACCTTAAATTTAACGGTGAATTTCTCTTCGATTCCCTCGCTTCCGCAAATGTCTGGTTCGCTGAAATCGACTGCCCGCCAACTCCACGTATTATTTTTGCCTTTCCCATCTTGGGAAGGTTTCCCCCCGGGAGAAAGAGCGGGTAAGTTGGAATTGACAGATGGGCCGGGCATCAACTTGAGGCTGGGTTCTATCCTGTGATTGCAAGCCAATTTGAAGATTTGTTCCCTCCTGAAGAGTAACCGGGTCCGGTTAACGATTTGCGGATCCGAAAGCACCAGCATTTGCCCTAGGCCTCTTTCCTTCCATTCCTTGGTATTGGGGTCAAATCTGACAGTAAATATGGCATATTGTTTATCATTTTTAAAATGGACGTGTTAACGCCAATGTGCGAAATCAGGTGACATAGTGTATTTTATCTTATTTTAACTCGTAAGAATGAGGTATTTTACACATGCTGGAATTTATTTCCGGAAAAATTCTCATTTTCCAAAGTTAAACGAATGAAATGATAAAAATTATTTGATGAGCGCGATTTTTTTTAAAATTTAGGAAACTTTTTTTTTGGGAGGGGGGGGGAGGAATAAATTCCATTATATTTGTAAATTTATCATATAAATTTATAACAAGCAAACTTTTTGAGTGAGATTTTACTAAAAAAAATAGGAGGATTGCTGGAAAATTAAATATTGGTAGCCATCTTTGGCATTTTCATTTGTAATCAAATTGGGAGCCTCCATATTTTTTAGCGATTTTTTCGCCATTTAAGAACCTATCCTTAGATTACGATCATTTTTATTCAATTAAACTATGAAGATTCAAACCGTCGCAAAAAACATAGATAAATTACTCAAGCTTAGGAAATTAGGAATTAAAGTGTGTATAATTTAATTTGCATGTAAAATATTTTTTTCTTAAGAAAACAATAAAAAAAAAATAAAGATTACAATATTTACTGTACAAATCTGGTAAAAGTGCTATATATTACTCTTATGGCAAAAAAAGTGTGACGGCAAAGCAAAATTTACCATTAATTATGACTTTAATATAACTAAAAATCATTCGGAGACCTGAAAACCAGTTCAAAGTATTTAAATTTAATTTATAATTATCTTTTATCATCTGATATTAATCTTAGAACAACTGGGTTCAAATTTTCAAGGTATAAATATTTTATCCCATAAATTTACAAAACAATAAACACAAAATTAAATAGATGATTCTCAAGAAGCTGGTCATCCTCAGGTACAATCTTTGAACCTTCCAAATCATATTTCGTACTGATTTCACCCCTGCCGCGCAAATGTATTCTATCTTTTCATCACGACTCTTCACCCGGTTACGATGGGCTTCGTCCCATCTTCCTCCAGGAACTAACATCTCTCATAATCAGCCAGGTCTCAATTTTACAAAAATTTATAGACTTTCTCCAATTAAATAGCACGTGGACTCGTTCAACAAGAACGTCTGACCAATAGCAATCGGGATCGTATTCCTTCTATTCTTTTCCCTTACTCTCTCCCACTAATATACCATTGATTTCCCACCTTTTCTCAATTTTCCCACTACCGCTATTCCATGCCATCTCATCTCCAATTACTATTTACTTTCATTAACAAAAGGGATCCAACAAGGCGATCCTCTGGACTCGACACTTTTCTGCATAGGAATCAACGAAATGGTCAAAAATATTTTTGCTTATACTGCACACTTCATACATTGACGATGGAATATTCTGTGCCCCCCCCCCTTCCACTAATGAGGTCGCAGAGGCACTTGCCATCATCAAAACACATTCCCATGCAATGGGACTCTCACTTAATGAACAAAAAACTGAGATCTGTCCATTTCATTGTTCTATTCCATTCACCTATATAACTTCCACACAACCGAGCTCTCATCCCTCACTCATCGCGGCTTCCCAGTTGGTCTGGAATACAATCACTTTTTCACCAATGCACCATCTTCATTTCAAAAACATCTTTAAGTTTATCCCTCCTAATCAAGCTGTTATTCTCCTGAAAAACTTTTACTACATTCCTAAAATTCTTTACACTCTTTGATCCAGCTCAATCTTCAAATTAATCACTTAAATCATTCGATACTTCAGTCAAATCTCTTGTTGAAGAGATCCTTAATCTACGCTTTAACTATAATTCATGGTTACAAGCATCATTTCCATGCAAGCTCGGGTGTATCGACTTACACTCACCTCTAACTCTTTCCATTAGTGGATTATTAATAAATTTTTTTAGAAATTTATTAATTTCTAAGTGTGATTTTTAGACATTTATTCTAATCAACTAATATTTTTAAGTTTAAAATGGATTTTTATTTTTTTATATAAATTATATATATATATATAAATTAGGGCTGTGCCGATCCACATATTTTTCACCGATCCGATATTACTTCAAAACCGATCCGATACCGATATTTAATATCGGCACAGCCCTAATATAAATTATAAATAATTAAATTTTATATGACATATAAAAAAAATTTTTGTATATTACAAATTAATAAGAATTTTTTTTTATTCATTATTATATTATATCGTATTTATATTGTATCAAAATAAAACTCTTAATTTCAAACATGGTAGCTAATATCGTGTTAAAAAAATATAAGATATTTATTTATATTAAATGAATTTTTTTTTTGTTTTCTAAAAATTTATTCATAAAGTTTTGAACAAACGTGGACGCCGTTCGACTTTTTAAGAAATGTTTACAGCACTAGAAAATCCTAATTCATCAAATTGAAACCTTTTATACATTAAAATGAAGAATCTTTTTCTTTGAATTGTGATCTATTTGATATATTAGAACGATACAATATCTTAATATATTATTGCTTACAAAAAGTAAATTAGTTTATTTTTAAAAGGCTAACCTGTAGATTTTTGCTCTTTCGTTGAAAAGAATATTTTCCCCCGTGGATTTATCCATCAGTATTCCATCCAGTCCGACCTGAATCAACTTGCTGCCTTTACCGAGGGGAGTTCTAGTGTAGCTACTTTCCGACCGCTGTGATATGTCATGACTACTTTCCTTGTTGAGCGATTTATCCCCTTCTTGCGGCAAAAGGCTATCTCCTACATAAATAGTTTTGAAGAAAAATGAAAATTAAGCGCTCGGAGTTGGACCCCGTAATAAAAAGGATACCGGCTCCGAAAATATTTAAAAAATAGAGTGAGTATTTGTTCCGTCGTTTTTAGATTTGGTTCGGTTCCCAGTGGTTTCATTCTTCTAAGATCAAATTAATCTGTCATCAAATTAAATGTTATTTTTTAAATAAAACTTGGATCCAGGACCTTATTTACATAAAAGTTATTTCCATAATTTGCACAAACACACTTTCCTCCCCCCCCCCATCCACCTATCATTTTTAGAGTCAGACACCAAAAATACACAAAACCCAACTCACTAACCCAAGGGTTAGGTCGAAACTTTTTTCGCTTTGGCCTGGACCAGATACGTTCCAGGTAATGAATATAAATTGTTCGGTCTGACAGGAACCTAGAAAAATTGATGGATCGCAAAGCGGCCCAAAGCATTTAACGAAATTCAGACCAATAATGTAGTGTTGTTACATGGCTCGTTCTGAGCCGATTTTTATATACGGCTAACTCAATATTTCATCTAGAATTTTAATAAGCAAGCCTGAAGATTTTGTTTGTAGAAGGAACAAAGGTTTGGACATCTATTAGCGAAATCTCAAGGCTTAGACAATATTTTTCTAGCTGAAATATTGAGTTAGCCGTTTTTAAAAATCAAAACGAGCCGTTTAACAACACTACAATAATGCCGTTATTATGAATATTCATTCTGCATTGGTCTATTTCAAAGATCCGGCCAAGTTTCACGGGAAAGACGGGATCGTAAGCGATATGCCCATAGACGGGACACGTCAAACATGGCAGGAAGTTTGCAGCTTTTTTTTTTAAAAAAAATGTTGTAAAAAATGGGGGCCAAACCATTTTCATCTTCGCATCCGATGCATTTAGTGTGGGATTTTGGTTTGGATTGGTAAAGGTAAAAATAGGGTGAGAGGCTGAGGCTTAAGGCTTTTTCCACTAAATCTGGCGATGGCAATTTTTCGTAGATTAGTTCTACATCTGGATTGGGAGGAGTTTCTTGAGCCGTCTTCTAAAAATGATAGGTTTAAAAATATAAGATTTTAAAAAATATATATATCTAAATTATATTTCCCTTCCTTCCTAAAAAGATTGCATAAAAAAGCATGTTAAATGAAAGTCATATGTCAGAATCTTCTTATCGTTCCTTCTCTTTCTTGTGGATACAAGAATTTTATTATTCATGTAGCGAGTTATGATCTCCATAAGTATAATTAATTTTAAATGCTTTGGAGGGAAAAAAAAGGTTACCTATTTTTATTCCTATCAAAAAAAAATTAAAAAATGATAAATCCATTTCATCTAAAGAATGTCAGTAAAGTCATAGAAATGGCGTAAGAACTGGAATTGTGATAAATGTTTATTGTATGTAAAATAGACATCACTAAGTTAAAGGATCATGATACTTTAAAAATAAAATTAATATAGAATTATTCACTCAGTATCTTAGTACATTTTAAGGGTGTATAGTTGTTTGTCATGATCATCTATGATTTTCTCTTTAATGTTTTTTTAAAAAAGAATTTAAAAAAATTTGGCCAGATGTTTTTTTTTATAAAATAGCATAAACATTTTTTAATTTTCTCAAAAATCTTCTTTGACGAGTATGCTCAAAATTTTTTTTACGAAAAAAATCTTCAATCTTTTTGATATTCAAAAGAATTTTTGCTCAACCCTTGACTGATTCAAGATTATTATTAATAATCATGTCAATCAAGTGTGTCTGTCATTATATATATTAATCAAGTGTGTCTATCATAATATATATTTTTTTTACTTGTTGAGATGCTTTACCACCGTCGGATTTTACAGCACCTGGCATACTGGTTGTGGGAATCATTTTAAACGAACCTTAAATTTTATACATATAGATAAAATATAATAAATAAAAAAATTTTGTTATTCTACCAAAAAAGAAAAATTTTGAATATTCAAAATAGAAAGTTCGAAAATAAAAAATATGCCTCTTATAGTGCGCACAAATTGAACGTTTCAGTTTTGAGCCGATTTTTAAAAACGGCCAACTCAATATTTTAGCTAGAAAAATATTACTTAAGCGTAGAGATTGATTTCGCTATTAGATATTTAGACCTTCGGGCCCTATGTGAGAAAAATATCCAGGTTTGCGTAATGTTCATCTGGATAAAATATTGAGTTAGCCGTTTGTAAAAGTCGGCTCAAATGGAGCCATTTAACGACACTAAACGCAGCGTTTCGAAACGCAAATAATGCATTCGTTTAAATTGGTAACATTTCCGTTTTGCATTTTAAATTATTTATTTAAAAAAAATAAAATATCTTGCGTTTTTTTTTGGAAACGTTTTTAAATTTTGAAGTGATAGCATGGATATACAACATCTTATAAAAAGTAAAAATAACTATATTAAATGATACAATAATATTTTTATCTTACGGAATTATGATATAAAAAAAAAAGTGCTAATTAAATATAGGGGCAAGCCATTTTTAGACGTTGCATATTGGATATAAATGAAAGTTAGCGTTTTCTATTTTTTTTTTATTTGCGTTTCGAAACGCCGCGTTAAAACGTTCACTTTGTGTGCACTATTATATTTAATCCAAGCCTGAGCTTTTTTAAGTGTCCTGTTTTGAAAAGCAAGTATGACCCAAACCAAAAACATAATCGAAAAAAGGAGAGGGGGCAAAAAAATTATACTCATACCTTAATTGAAAATAGTAAGGGTTCACAAACGTCATCAAGTATAAATTTATTCAAACTTGTGGTCTTGAGGGAACTGCCGGCAATTCCATCTACGACAGTGTCAGGTGACTTCTTGGTCGCCCCATCACGTGAGGTATCGCAAGCAATGCATTTGTTTCTCTCCAGAGCGTTTACTATGTAACAAGCATCACAAGTCCACCCATTAGCGTAATTAAGGTAAGCACCTAGACCGGGTTCATCTTTCGGATGTTGGTACCTTGATACGCAAAATATCGTTGAAGTTCAGTAGAGAATCTATTTATCATTACAACTCGCTTTTAAAGGTTATCCTTTCTCTGTACTAGTATTGTTAAACCTGGAGACTTTGCTGATAGACGGCAGAAAGGTCTGGATCTTAATTTGAAAAATCTTGCGGCTTACATAATACTATTTTGGCTAAAATCTTAATCGGGCCGTTTTTAAAAATCGACCCAACTCGGGGGGGGGGGGGGGTTTAACAACACTACTCTGTACCCCTTATTCTCTCAGAGGCGGGAGGGTAAAACAAAATAATATTTATTTTAAAAAAAAACAAACTTACGAGTGATGTTCAGATTCATAGGAACCATTGTACGTGCTGGTATCGGACTCTTCTGTATCGCCTGCCTCTGTCTGGTCGAAACTTCTGGAAATGTCTGCCCTACCTTTGACCGTATTGCCACTAACAATGATATCTCCTCCGGTAGTGGGTGACTTGGAATCTTTTGTATTCGACCTAATCAAAATCATTAATTTTTCATTAAAAAAACTTACATAAGTAAGTCGTTTTCTCTGGATATATCTATCATAGACCAACAACGTATAATCAACGCTGTTAACGCTACTTTTTAAAAAAAATAGTATACTATAGTTACACTTACTTTAACTACTGATCCATGTAGCCTAGCGATTTTAGTAGAGATACTACCTTTGAAAAAAAAACTGCCCCATTTTATTTTCTGAACGTAATCGTTAAATAAACAACTTTTTATTCAAATTTGAAAATATAATAATATCAATAAAAAAAATAATTTTTTGTTTAACTTTTAATATTAATAATTTTCCCGCTAAAATAAAATTTCAATCGTCGCTTCTCGACACGTTTGGACACACTTTAAAAAAACCGAATCCGAACCCGTCTAAACCCAAATGTTTTTTTATCCCGTCCGCGTTCACGTTTTGGATTCGGGTTTTCGCGACAAAATGTCGAGTTTTAATTTACTCTACAATTTTTTTTATTCGTCGAAATTTTATTAGTATAGATAGATTGTTACTTTTAAACATCAGTGGTAAAAAATAACGTAATCAAATAAAAATGGCTCACGTAGGTTTCAAATTTTTACGTTATGTATTAAACAATAATTAAGATTATCTTTGAGGTTTAATACAAAAAAAAAAATCTAGAAATAGAAGTCAGCTGATAAGCCTAGCACTATAAAAAAAAGAAGCTAACGTTAAGAAAAAGTTAACCAGGAAGGTGGTTTGCTTTAGGATTTTATTTTTTAAAAAAATAAGCAGAAATTTATGAGAATGGTAGAAATAGATGGCGACCGTACCTCATAAATGAACCACTATTCAAAAGCTCGACTACTCTAAACTAGATGCTAACTAAAGATGTTAAAAAAACGAAACTCTAACGAGTACAGTTGAGGTTGATGACGTCATAGGCAAAGGGTTTATATAGAAAAAATAAATAATCTTCTTCTCCGTTTAATGGCGATTTCCAGGTTTACCCAGGGTTGGCCAGTTTTCCTTCCGATTTAATCGTTAGGAAATTTTGTAGCAAGGCTTTTACAATCGGATTCCCTTCCTGAAATCAACCACTTCAGGTGGTTTTTGCACCCCGTCGAGGAGAGACCCAGACCACAATGAACCCTTTAGATCTCCATTAACCGCTAAAAAAACCTTGCCACTCCCCCGTTCTGTTTTAGGCTAAGAACATACCCAGAGCTAGTGTTGTTATAGGCTCAATTTTTTTTTAAAAACGAAATATTACGCGGTCCTCAAGATTTAGTTAATAGCTACCCAAACCTTTCAGCCATTTATGAACAAAATCTCTAGGCTTGTCTAATATTTTTTAGGCCAAAATCTTGGGTTAGCCATTTTTTAAAAAAATCGAGCCGTTTAACAACACCACCCTGCTGTGCGTTCTGGCGTTAGAGCGCTGAGATGCTCTTCAAATTAAGAGGTCAGTCTTTATAATGTCATTTTGATCACTGAAAGTTTTTTTTTTGAGAATACTCAAAACAAAATTTTTCCTAAAATAAAATTTTTCCTAAAATTTAATGTGTTAATTTTTCGTTATGCATATAAAAATTTCTCATGATTGGAGATGCAGAAAGAAAGAAAAAACGAAAGGAAGGAAGAAAGGAAGGAAGGTTAAGTAGACACAAATTTATATTAAGTTTCGACTAATTATAATAAATTGTCATAAATTTTTATGTTTCATAATTTTTTTTACTATAAAATCTGATGCTAAATAACGCAATAAATTTTAATTATTTAAAAATTTAATAGTTATAGAACTTTGTGTTTCTGTCTCAAAAATAATTTTTCATATTGTTTAAAACTTTCCAGAATTTATAGTTTGGTATAAAATAATACCGTGAAATAATCAAGGCTACACATTAAACAAAATAATTTGTGTAACAAAGACAAAAGGATATCTAGATGCAATCAGACCACATAAAATCGCTCGAGATATGGATTAGATATCATTAGGCCCGGTCTGAAATTTGAAAATTCGGACCCCAAGGGGGGAATCGGGACTTGCAGATCACTAATATAGATAATTATTTCGATCAATATCGCTATTTGACTCATTAATAAATTATTAGATTCATAAAAGGTACCCAAGATGCACCAAATCCAGCATCCGGGACGTTTTCCGAAAATTGCCATTCCTTAACCTGTTCCCTTTTTTTTAAATATATATAATCAACACATTTTCATAACACACAAAAAAAATCGTCTCTAGAGATGAATAAAAAATTGAATACCGTTAAATTGCCTATATTTATTTACTGTTGGAATATACGCTGATAAACACAATATGTGTTGTAAAATATTTCCACATTTACGTAACGACGTAATCACTGCAAAAATACTGTTAACACAATTGTTTTTTAGTTAAACAATTTCATAAAAAATAAAATTGTCAAAATATTATAAGGAAATAAATGTTTTCCAACAAAATCAATCATATTATTACTAGCATTACCGATAAATTTATACAAATTTTTAATCGAATTAAATTTACAATTCAGCGTATAAGATTTGATAAAAAAATTTTTTATATATATAAAATCAGGAACTCGTAACTGGATTGGTAATTAAATTTTCCTAGAGGGTCCAACAATGGACAGCTGAAAAAATGTTAATGCATCCCCAATAAATATGAAATATATTATTTATTTTTTTGAAGTGGCTTACTTGATATCTTGCTGGACCACGCCTTTGAAGCCCACAGGGGCGAAGGTGAAATTTCGGTTGTCGCCAAATGATATGCCATCTTTACTACCTTGGGTAGATATAATAATGGGTGAAGCGGTCGATATCGTTTGAGGGGAAGAAAGGGGGGAAGAGAAAAAATTGAAATTTATCCCCGAGGTCTTGGTGGTTGTTATCTATATATGATTTTTTTTTGTAAGAAAAATGTTTTATGACTTGTATAGGGGATCTTAAGTCCACGGGAATGGCAGAATGTCTCATCTTCAAATTATTTCCTGGAAGTATGCACACAAAAATAAATCAAATAATTCTCCTAGGTAATAAAATCATAACTCGATAAGAATTTTTTAAAAAATGGATTATTTAAATTAAAAGAAAAATGATTTATATAAGATGTGGAAATAAAGTTTAAAAAAAATTATAAAAAGTTCTACAAGGAATTCATGCTAAAATTGGTTGAGTAATTTGACCCTAATGAAGCAATTTAACACCACTAGTAAATAATGTGTGTGTGTGTGTATACAAATTTATTAAAAATATCTTGTTGGTTATAAAATATATATTTTTTGTATAACACTATTACGAAATTACTGGATTTTGCTTGGGTAATGTTTATCGCCAAATAACCGCGATTTCTATAGATGGAACAATAATTCGACAAAATCGAAAACATAGAGAAGAGTGCTAAAGTGAATGCCAATGATTAAAAACTACGGTTTTTTCAGTGTCACTCCAAGGGTCATTAGATCGGCCAATGTTCGGCCGATTACCCTGAAGAGAATGGCAGATAATGACATGAAAATGCTAGATTAAACTAGTGGCATGCCCCCAGAACCATGTTAAATAGAAAGAGGACTAAAAAAATAGGAAGCTAATTTCCGAGGACGAACCTGAAAAGGACCACACTAAACGAAAAAGTATTTTAAAAAGTCCACAATAACAAAATGGACTGATATTAAAGAGTGACGTCGGAAAAATGTTTCCAATATGTAACAGAGTATTTTTTTCTAATTTAAAAAAACAGTGCTCAGTGAATCATTTAAAATTGAGATTACATTCCCATGGATCCTTGTATTTTGTTTATAGATATTTTTAAAAAAATAATAAATAAACCTGAGTTTTCAATCCACCACTCAATAAACTATGTTGTTGAGTAGCGAAAACCGAAGAGGGTTCAAATTTAAAGTTCATGGTAGCAGTTGTTGTAGAAGAAACAACACTGGTGAAGCTGAAGAATCCTGGCTGGATAATCGTGGAAGAAGATTTAGATAAGAGAGAAGTGGTATTGACCAGGGTCTTCGATAAGACTTGATTGCTGAAGGAAGATATGGCGACCGTTTGACGGGGTTCGGGAGACATCTGTTTTGGAGAGAATCTGGTGGTGTTTCCCATAGATTGGAAGTCTGCGTAATTATTGTAGGATGGGGAGGTACCTTCTTTACCATAATCTTCGTGGTTATTATCATAGTAATCCTTCAATGTGGTTGGCAACCGGTATGGTGGGAAATTTGTATTCGAGGAGCCAAATGTGTAAGAATTGTTGGGTGAAGCCCTGATATTCTGTCCATAATAATGTTCATCTAGTTGATGATTGTATTGTGTGATCATGGGATGATGATGTCTGTCATGATAGATAAGCGGCATCCGGGAGAAGGCTATGCGCAAGGAATTCAGATCAGCCCTCAGATTGGCTTGCTGCTCGTTGAGGCTGTTTCTTAGGTTGCTTTGCTGTTCGTTGATAATGCTAAGGCTTTCCTGTAAAAAATGGAAAAAGGAGAGTTGCATGAAATAACAAAATTGGATCGTTTTCTTTAATACTATAAATTAGATTAACCAATGTAAGGTCAGCTGGTTCAAAAAATTCATTTCGATTGGTCAACTGAATTCCCATTCTCTGTTACCTAAATGTGGGTCAGAGTAAGAATAAGATGCATTTTATATGAACTGACTGATATGGTAAAGAATAAACGCTGCCATGCCTCCCTTTATACATACGAGAAAAAAAATGTATAAATACTATCTAACGGTATCGGGTCCTTCGTAAATTTAGTTAGATAAAATCCAACTCTAATTTATATTCATTGCCCACAATTGTGAAATATAAGTTGCCTGAAATAACCTGTCAATCAGCCAATACCAAATTTAAAAAATATCGACTTTGCTGAAAATAAACTCCAGTATATTTTAGAAATAAAAGCCCCACATTGGATAAATTTTTTTAAGATCCAACCTGATCTGTTAAATGGTAATTAATTGTGTTGTAAACGAACATGTTCATTTTAAACGCGTTCGTGAACGAAGTTCCTTTTGAACACGTTCGTGAACGAAGTTCCTTTTGAACACGTTCGTGAACGAAGTTCCTTTTTTTGAAAATAATGAACGACGTTCCTTATATTTTTAAAGAACTTTCAACGTGAACGCGTTCCTTTTTTTTTTGAAACGTTCGTACAATTTTAAATTTTATTTATTTGAAAAATTTAATATTAATCCGAATTTTTTAAGAAATAGTCTCATATTTTTTTAATCTGCTGTTTATCCTTCTTCACATTTCAATTTTTTTTTAACACGCCATATTAATTAATTAGAATATTATAGTTTATATTTTAATCTAATAGATTAGTGTAAGCATGGATATTCTTATTTTTCATCATTATCCTCTGATTCTAAAACTTTTAAAATCAAATGAATCAACATTACCATGACCCAAATATGATAAATATTTTACAGTAACATCCTATATTAAAGGAACTAATTCGATACTTACCAAATGTTAAATATGCCCAAAAAGTTTTACATCAGTTTCAAAATCTTCAAGTTCCAATTTAAAACGACATTGGATTGCAATATTAATTATTTTATTTTATATGATATAATATAACTAAGTAAAATCGTTAAATTTGAATAAAAAAATTCATTTGGGCTATTCGACCTCAACAATATCAATAGTTATTTAAAAATTAAAAAAATTAGTGGCGTAAAATATAATCCGCAATCCGCCCCCCCCTCCATCTGCCCCTATAGAGCCTGTTTTTAATGTAGTTAATGTCGTATTAATTGCTAAGCGTTTCTGTCTGACAAACGAAAATTTTGAAAAACAATTGTCATTAAAAATTAATAAGAAAAATTTAATATAATGTTTTAAAAGAATATAAGACACATTAAATTATATTTTTTTAAAAAAAATTATCATAAAATTTTGAACGAACATGAACGCGTTCCTCCTTTTTGAAAGTGAACGCGTTCGACTTTTTATAAATATTTACAGCGCTAGTAATTAAAGAAAATATTATATGGGAAACACAAAATAATTGTACAAATTTTATCGAGGTCCAAATCCAATTTTGATAATAAATTTTAAGATCAAACTCCTATGAATCCAACTTAGTCCAATAAAATGTCTGGGGCTGGGGTTGGTCAAATCTGAATTGGACTGGTTCACGAAGGGTTCTAAAATGCCTATCATATAATTCAGCTATTATGAACGGTATCATTTTCAGTTACATACCGATAAGCAACATGTAAATTGTCTATGATATTAAACAGTCATCGACATGTATTTGACTTATTAAAGATATTGATTGTAACGTACTTGGAACGCATTATTGATTAACTTATTCACATTCAATTGAAAAATAATGTTCTTCCTTAAGCATCTAGCAATCACTTTGAGACGCTTCTAAGTTTTTCTCAATAAAACCTGTTGTAACAACGGGGTAGCGACAATTTATAAAGAAAACTCATTAGGACCATAATATTTTTCCAAAAGCATCCGGTGATCCCTCTGAGTCTCCCATTTAAGTTATTTTTTGTTATGGCCCCTTGCACCAATTGGTTTATGACAATTAATTTATTTTTTTTAAAAACTTACTACAAAAAAATTTAAAATAATGATAAATTATCATAAAGATATTTGTGATTTTAAGTAAGGAACTTTTGATATTTAATAATTTAGAAATATGTGAAACTTAAACTATTGTCAAAAATATATCTCCTTGTTGCAAGTTAAATACTTTTTCTATGATTTTTTGTAAAAAATAATAAATGATCTAAAATGTCCCTATCACATCATTTTCAATGCCTGGACGAGACTTTAAGCTTAATAGATTTTTAACAGTAAAATATAGGCAATGCCTTGTTGTATTGATCTCACTAATTTGTTACCGGTGGTGTTCAAATGAACAGTTTGAAAATCGTTTGATATGTTCACTAAGGTTTGGTCTCTCATTCTCGCTATCCAAATTACAAAAAAGGGAAGATGCTTTCCAGTATAAGGCACTTTATATTTTATCATAAAATTTGCTTAGAAAGGATTTTCAGAGTATATATATATACTTGTAGATTCAAGAATCTATATCATTTAAAGTAGGAGTGTACCAATAGCTCCTTATTGAAGGCCAATCCAATCTGATGTTATGATGATATTGGCCAATTCCCAATAACTAATTTGATTTTGTGTTTTTTTTTCATAGTTAACCACCATCTATTACTATATCATAGCCATAACATAAGCCATATGAAATATATTATAATCAAATTTTAATTAACCTATTAGGTATATAGGCCCAGCCATATTTGAATTTAAAATAACCAGACTGAGTAAAAAAAAAATTAATTTTAAAAATATCCATGCCAGGCTGGGCCAAATTATTTAAAATTGTGAATCATAGAACAAAATACCACATTAATTCACTTATAATATTTCTTAATTCCATTTTTTGAATCCTTAGAAAATATTTCCATAAATGAAAATTTAAACAAATTAAAAGCAACAAAAATACACTCGATATTTAAAATATAAATTAAATAATTAAAATTTGATAGTAGTATACTTTTTAAATGACCTAGATTATGGTGGCATAATAAAAAATAAAATATGTATAACTAGTGTTGTTAAATGGCTTAAGTCAATATTTTAGCCAGAAAAATATGCCCCTAAGCCTCGAGATTTCTTTAATATATGTCTACACCTTTGTTACTTCTATGAGCAAAATATTCAGGCTTGTGTAGTATTTTTCTGGGTGAAATATTGAGTTAGCCGTTTTTACTCAAAACGAGTCATTTAACAACACTATATATAACAAAACAAAATAAGATTAGTGATATTGGATCGATAACCAGCTAACAACACTATATATAACAAAATAAGATTAGTGATATCGGATCAATAACCAGCTGATAGCAATTCAATATCAGCAATAATGTATTAAATGGACCACTAAAAAGTGGTCCTAGAGAAAATCCCTATATTTTAGACAATTTTTAATAACGGCTAAATCAATATTTTATCCAGGAGAATATTATATTCATGAAGATTTTGTTCATGGCACAAAGGTTTGGACATCTATTATTGAAATCTCTAGGTTAGGCAATATTTTTCAGGTTAAAACATTAAGTTAGCCATTTAAAAATATTGGCTCAAATCAAACCATTTAACACTAGATATATATTTAAAAAATTTATTTTTAAAAAGAATTGAGTTTTAAAGTTGATAAATAGGGTGTGTAGTAATGTGTAAATTATATTATGAATAAGTATATTCATTAATTAGATGTTTTATAAAGTTTATCTGTATATGTATAATATTGGGTGATAATGTTATATATATAACTGCCTAACATTATTGCAATGTAAAAAATCTATTGTAATATTTAATATCCTGCCTTATGAATGATCATGGTTTTATAAATAAATGTTGTATGAATTATACTATGTGATATTCAAAATTATCCCATTTATTAAAGGGTGTATCTGGTGATGCAGAATCACTCCATTTGTGTCGATTTTTAAAATTGTCTAACCTTTAGTGTGAAAAATATTGTTGAAGTATAGAGATTTCACTAATAGATGTCTAAACCTTAGAACCATCTATGAACAAAATCTTAGAGCTTGCATAATATTTTTCAGGATATAATATTTTAAAAGTGCTACATGTTGTTACTCAATATTTCATCTAGAATAATATTATGCAAGCCTGAAGATTTTGTTTGTAGAAGGGACAAAGATTTGGACATCTATTAGCAAAATCTTGAGGTTTAGGTGATATTTTTCTGCCTAAAATATTGAGTTAGCCATTTTTAAAAAATTCAAACGAGCCGTTTTAAAAAAAAACTAGGTGCTAGTTTTATGAATGTTAAGTACTCCAGGTTTAATTGAATGAAAATCGATATGCATTAATCAACATCTTTTTATACTTTAACTTGATATCTCCAAAAATATAAGAACTAGGAAGCTAAATTTAAACATGGCTTCAGTTATATTGTGCCTTAGTTTGTATAAATAATAAAATTTGGCTGAGATCCCTAAGGTCAGCAAAATAGCTCATCATGGAACCCACCTCTAATTTATAGCACAGATCATTTATAATAAAAAAATATATTGATAACATTATAAACAAATAAATATTACAAAAAGTTTCTGCAATTTGTCATCCACCCTTTTTTCTAACTGGGAGTGAGCTAGGGAATGATTCTGTTCAACCAGGGACATTATTATTGATTGATTGGATTGCAATGTCTTGGTGAAGGCTCCCAAGAGTTCCTTTGTCTGTTTGTCATTTTCTTGGAAGGATTTTATCTGGGAAATCATAAATTGAGGCAACATATTGGAGGAAACACTAGTTGATAGATCTTTGTTATCTTCCAACTTAACATTGGGATTGATATGAGAAGGTTGAATATTTATTGTGTGCTCTGATGGGGTTTCTCCACTATGAGACATGTTAGTGAGATTCAAAGGCGGTGTTGGATAAGTTGGTCCACTTAACGGTGGCCCTGTCATCAAATTAATTACTATGTTGCTAGGGGTGGGATTTTGTAAAGCAGAGCTAAAGATTTCCTTCTTAAGAGGATATGAATTATCTATGCTGTCATGCGATAAATGAGAATAGTCTAGATTTGAGATATTTTTGAGCTGATCATATGTTGGTTTATTAGGTAATAAGTCCTTGTGTTTTGCTATGGGCAAAATATTGCTAGAGGAATTGAATAGAGATTTCCCAAAGAGGCTTGTATTTGATTTATTGTTAAAGGAAAATATAGATGGTTTATCCAATTTGGTGTCAAAATTATAAGCTTTTGTCTTCACATTATTAACTTTGTCAAGATTATTAGAATCATTAGATTTTGAATTATTAACGTTTTTGGTATGGGGTGAGCTTGCAATAAAAAGATGATCATTATGTTTAGCCATTTGTTGCTCATCTCTAAAAGTGTGATCAGAATGGTTTTTTAATGGAGATCCAAATTGATTAAAAGTGTCATAAAATTGATCATCCTTATCCTTTTCAACATTGGAATATTTATAAATTTTATCCTATTTTCAAAAAAAAATATAGTAGATTGTTTTAATATATTCTAATTTTACATTCAATTTTGATATTAAGTCATGATTTGGGTATACATCATTAGTTATTGATAACCATTTCTATAAATAAAATTTATATAAAAAAAATAATTAAAAGTATAAATCATTCACCTGTGGATAACATTCTTCCATCATATCCATAGGCATATGATATAAAATATTGCATACTATAATTAAATTAATCAAAGAATAATAAATTATCAACAACTTTTTAAGAGTATTTCCTTAGAGCTATACATAGCATATATTCTAAAAGAAATGCATTGACTTGATATTATATAATATTTAATTTTACTTATCATAGCATTGGAAAGAATTTAAGTAATCATGTTTTGCTGAATATATATCACCCATTAACAATAAAGCAGGTATATTGTCTGGCCTTTCTTGTAAATACATTTTAAGATGTCTAATTTAAAATAATCTGTTAAAATCATGTAATTAATTACTTCTCACCTTTTAGCGGTATCTATATCACCATATTTCTCAAAAGCAATTTTAGCTGCTGTATAGCCTCTAAGCCTTCTAGCCTATTGGGTTGAGTTAAAATATATTCCAATAAAATAAATACATGTACCTCTTCCGTATTTGGCATCCTATTCATTAACAAATCAATCTCTTGTTGCAATAAATTTCTATCCGTCATATTATGGAACAATTAACGAATTTTACCAATCTGGTGAAATGAGATGTGGTCTTTTCATAAAGAAAATGGCTAGTTAAAATTTACAAAATTGAGAATATACGAAATATACTCAATACTCCATAATTAATAATAATTTTATTAATTTAGTCTGAAATAAAGGAGATATTGTATAAATATGGATATAATACTTAATTTAAATGAGGTAATTAAAAAATAATTCATATATAATATAATTCTTATATTATAAAAAAATGGATTTCATTCCTCTTTTTTCTTATATTTATCTCTTTTATTTTTACATGAATTGTGTTATATAAGTATTATTATCTTATATCCGATTAAATATATATTATTTTTGATAGTTATCTCAAGCAGTGATAAATAACTCAGTATAAAATTATCGTTTTCAACTACTCTTCCATTTGCTTGAGATAATACTTCTTTCAAAAATATATGTATATATATATGTAACTAGATTATTGATTTATTAATTAAGAGTGTACATGCATAGGAATTGTCATAAATGAGTGACATATTTGATGATATTTATTGCGTGAACATTAATAAATAAATTGTGCAGGTTCATTATTAGACCGTATTTTAATATTTTGTTTTATTTTATTTTTAGATATCGAAATTAAGTTTTGTTAAATCATAATGAGATTGTATTTTATGCGCTTCCCTATAAAAGGGAAGCGAAATATTATAAAGATTATTAACTATTTTATTTTTGTTTTTAATATATTTTTTTTTGATTGTAATAGTAAATTTTGAAATAAAATTATTCGTTTTTTTTGTGTGGGAAATTCAATAAAATTATTATACTCGGAGTTTTGCTTTCTATTCGGACATATACGGCACAACGTGATAGTTGGTGCCGTGACCAAAAAATTAAAGTAAAAACAATTATTTTTATAAATTATTTTTGGGAAAACATTTTTGTGGAGCGTTGTGGTGGATAAGATCGCCAATTTGAAGAACCGTCAAGAGCAAGTACCGTCAAGAGCAAGTACCGTCAAGAGCAAGTACCGTCAAGAGCAAGTACCGTCAAGAGCAAGTACCGTCAAGAACAAGAACCGTCAAGGACAAGTACCGTGTGTAATAAGGGACCGTTTGGGTTGAAAGACCGTCAAGAACAAGTACCGTCAAAAGAGGTGACCGTCGAGTGAAAATTTTCAAAAGACGTAAAGTACACGGAAGTGCTGCCCAAATTTTTGCCGATATAAATCTATTAGACGAAAATCGAAAATTTACTAAAAAAGTAGAGTACACGGAAGTGCTGCCCAAATTTTTGCCGATATAAATCTATTAGACGAAAATCGAAAATTTACTAAAAAAGTAGAGTACACGGAAGTGCTGCCCAAATTTTTGGTTATATAAATCTATTAGACGAAAATCGAAAATTTACTAAAAAAGTAGAGTACACGGAAGTGCTGCCCAAATTTTTGTCTATATAAATCTATTAGAAGAAATTCCAAAAAAGTTTATTAGAAAGCAAGTTACACGAAAGTGCTGCCGATTTTTTTTTTCAAAAGACGTCAATACACGGAAGAGATTAAAGATTAGCGGAAGGTTTTGATTTTTTTTTTGAAATTGATAAATGTATATGTGTATTATTGGAGTTTTTACCTTATTGATTTTATCTTATTGTCTGACATTACAAGTAGTTAAGATATTTTTGGTGAAATTAATTATTAATTTTTTGTGAATATTTTATAAAATTTAGTGTTGTTAGAGAAATAAATTAGGAAAAATTGAAATACGTAAATATTTTAATGAAGGGTTTTAAAATTACAAAATATGTGGAGTTGCAATATAATGTATTGGGAGCGGTGGTAGTGTTGATGATATGGTTGTGTAGTTTATATTTTGGAAGGAGAATGCGAAGAGAAAGGAGTATTAGGATTCGTGGGCAATCGTTGTTGGTAGAGGGGCATAATGGAGAGGATGATAGGTTGGGGAGAGTGACGTGGTTACCGGTTCAAGAAATAATGAAGGGTTGGGTCAATAATGAAGAAATTGACCGGTTAAAGAACGAGAGGATAGATGACAGACATTTGGATGTATACCGTGGACGTCAAGAGATGCCAAGGCCGTTCAACAGTGGGGGACAGAGAGGTCGGAATGGAAGATGTTATAAATGTGGGGAGATGGGTCATATTGCGGTGAATTGTAGAGATGTCAAATGTTTTGCGTGTGGGGAGATGGGACATATTTCGACATATTGTCCGGGCAGAGCAGAGAGAATACGTTGCACGGGTTGTGGAAGATTTGGACATGTGTTAAAGGATTGCCGAGTGGGAAAGGTGGAAACAAGGGCAGGTTTTCCACAGAGAGGAGAGTCGTCGGGGGTCGTGAATATGAGGAGTATGACGGAGATAGGTGGAAAAGAAGGAAAGGATATTGGAGAGGAGATGACGTGTTTCAAGTGCCGAGAAAGGGGACATTGGGCCAGAGATTGTAATAAAGATTGACTATATGATGGGAAGGAGAGTAAAATAATGACCGTGGCGTTAGGAGGAGGCAAGAAAGAGTTGAGAGTTAAAATGTTGCAGCAGGAGGTTCAAAGGGAGTTAATGTATCTGCCGAGTCCAAGGGTATGGTTCGATATCAACGGGAAGATGGTATCTATGTTGTTTGATACCGGAGCAGCTATTTCGGTGATGGGATATGAGGATTTTAGAAGACTTTGGCCGGGTAGTAATATAATTAGAGACGTTATGCAAGTGAGGCAGTTTGATGGATCGGAGATGGAGATGATGGGAAGAGTGCATATTGGGGAGGTAGGAAGAGAAGGATGTAAAATGTTGGACTTATGGATAATTAACCGAGACGTTGAGCCGGTGATGGGATGGGATTGGATTACAAATGTAGGGCCGAGGTATGGATTCTGGGGAGTATTTGCCCGATGGGGAGTATTTGTGGCGATCGAAGAAGATATTCGGGAAGACTTGATAAATATGGTCCGAGTGAATGAAGAGAAGAGAATGTCGAGAGAAAATTTGGAATGGATGGAGGGCCGAGATAATATTGAAGTAGACGATGGAAGATCCATGTTTTGGGGGGAAAGCGAAGAGAATGCGAGAGAATATATGTTGGGGAGAGGTCCGATTTATGTAGATGGAGAAATAGGAAATGTCCAAGACAGTAGATATGGAGTATTGAGGCCGCTGGTTAGTGAGAAGAAGGGAGAGAATTTTGTAGAACAAGGAGTTGCGAAAAATTTGTGGGGGTGTGGAGAGGGAATAAAGGAGGTCCAAAAGGAGGTGGAGAAGTTAGTGGAGAGGTATGGAGAAATATTTGAGGAAGAGTTGGGTTGTTTGAAGGGTTATGAGGTGGAGATTCGGATGAAGGAGGGAAGTGTGCCGAAGTATTGTGCTGTACGTCGTGTACCTTTTGAATGGAGGCGAGAGGTAGAGCAAGAGTTGGATAGATGGGTAAAGGAAGATATTGTATGTCCGGTCGAATATAGCGAGTGGGCGACACCTTTAGTACCGGTGAAAAAGGCTAATGGGAAGTTGAGATTATGTGCAGATTTCCGAGTAACATTGAATCCGTGGGTAGTGGAAGTAAAATATCCGTTACCGAGGATAGAGGAGATATTGGCGAATTTGAAGGGGAGTTTATATTTTTCGAAGGTGGATTTTTCTAATGCGTATTTGCAGTTGAAGGTAAGGAAGGAGATGCAGAAGTTGCTGACCATAACTACGCCCAAGGGACTATTTGCGTTTAAGAGATTGCCGTTTGGGTTGAGTGTTTCGGCACCCATATTTCAGAGGACAATGGCGGCCGTTTTTCAGGGTTTGGAGGGAGTATTTTATTATATGGACGATGTCTTGATAACAGGTATTACGCAGGAGGAGCATAATAGGAGGCTAGAGGAGGTATTTTGGAGAATCAAAGAGAAGGGATTGCGTGCTAGTAGAGAGAAAAGCGTGTTTGGAGTAATGGAGGTTGTTTATTTGGGTCATCGGATTAATGGAGTAGAGGTTAGACCGTTGGATAAGAATATGGTGGGTATTGCAAACATGTTGAGGCCGAAATGCAAGTCGGAAATACAGTCGTTTCTGGGAATGGTTAACTATTATCACAGGTTTGTAGAGAATTTTGCGGAGATAGCGGCACCTTTGTACCAGTTGTTGAAAAAGGGAGAGAGATTTGATTGGGGAGATGAACAGGAGGAGGCGTTTGAGGAGTTGAAGTGCCGGATTGGAAAAGAGCCCGTCTTAGTGTGTTTTAATAATGAACTGGAGGTGATATTGGCGGTAGATGCGTCTCAAAGGGGAGTAGGAGGAGCGTTATTGCATCGTATAGAAGAGCTGGAGAGACCGGTGTTATTTTTTTCTAGAATTTTTAGGGCCGCGGAGACGAGATATTCGGTAATTGAGCAAGAAGCATTAGCTGTAATTTTCGGATTGACAAAGTGTCGGGAGTATTTGATTGGGCGTCGTTTTGTAGTCTATACGGATCATAAGCCGTTGATTCATTTATTCCGGAAGGATAACAAGGAGTTGATGATGTCGCCGAGGTTGCAGAGGTGGTTATTGATGGTGGGTAGTTTTGACATGGAGATGAGATATCGTAGAGGCCGAGAAAATTATTTGCCGGACATAATGTCGAGATGCGGAGCAGGGGAGGATGTGGAAGAAGGTAGTACAGAGGAGATGTGTAAGAAGGAGGTAGCGATGGTCATGGTGGTATCGAGGATGTTGAAGGGAGGTCCGGTAACGTGGGAGGAGATTCGGAAAGAGACGCAAAAAGATAGGGATTTGAGTCGAATAAAAGAATGTATAATGGGCCGGAAGCCGTGGAAAGAAGGAGATAGAGCTTATAAAAATGTTGGAGGAGAATTGACGGTGATGGACGAATGTGTAGTCCGGGGAAATAGGGCAGTGATACCTGGGAAGTTGAGAGGAATGGTTTTAACAATGTTGCATGCAGGTCATCAGGGAATGGAGCGTATGAAACAATGGGGACGAGAATATGTATGGTGGCCGAGGATGAATGTGGAGATTGAGGAACTAGCAAGACAATGTGTAGTATGCAATACTTGGGC